GGGGACTGGGAGGTCAACTGGGGACACTGGGGGGTCATGGGGGGTCATGGACAGTCAATGGAGGCAACTGGGACAGTTGGTTGGGCACTGGGAGGGACTGGGAGGCTCAATGGGGAGGACTGGGAGGTCAAGAGGGAGCTGGGAAGGGCACTGGGCTCTACTGGGGGCCACTGGGAGGGTCAGGAGTCAGGGGTCGGTGCCCCCACAGGACGACCACAAACTGGACGTGACCGACCTGGAGATGAAGTACAGCACCAGCGTCACCAAGGTGGGTGACCTCTGACCTCCGACCCCCTTGACCCCGTGACTCCACCAATCGCGTCCACCCCCATTGACCTTGTTGACCCTGTTGACCCCTCATGACCCATCGACCCCGATGACCCCATTGACCTTGGTCAACTCCATGACCTCATCAACCTCATTGACCCGACCCCCACCAACCCTGTTGACCTCGGTCAACCCTATGACCCCTGTTGACCTTGTTGACCCCACCAACCTCATTGACCCCATCAACCCAACCAACTCCATTGACTCCGGTCAACTCCATGACCCCATCAACCTTATTGACCCCCCCCAACCTTGTTGACCTCCTTGACCCCACTGACCCCCTTGACCCCCATCAACTCCATGACCTTCACCATCCCCGTTGACTCCGTCAACCCAACCAACCCCCATGACCTCATCAATCTTGTTGACCCACCAACCCTGTTCACCTCATTGACCCCACCAACCCCCACTGACCCCGGTCAACTCCATGACCCCTGTCAACCTCATTGACCCCACCAACCACGTTGACCTCATTGACCCCACCAGCCCCACCGACCCCATTGACCCCCATCAACTCCATGACCTTCACCATGCCTGTTGACTCCATCAACCCAACCAACCCCCATGACCTCATCAACCTCCTTGACCCCACCAACCCCCTTGACCCCCATCAACTCCATGACCTTCACCAACCCCGTTGACTCCATGACCCCCCGTTGACCCCGGCAGGGCCTGGTGGCGGCGGGGGCGGCAGACGGGGCACCCACCAACCCTGTTGACCCCGGTCAACCCCATGACCCCTGTTGACCTTGTTGACCCCACCAACCTCATTGACCCCATCAACCCAACCAACCCCATTGACTCCGGTCAACTCCATGACCCCATCAACCTTATTGACCCCCCCCAACCTTGTTGACCTCCTTGACCCCACTGACCCCCTTGACCCCCATCAACTCCATGACCTTCACCATCCCCGTTGACTCCGTCAACCCAACCAACCCCCATGACCTCATCAATCTTGTTGACCCACCAACCCTGTTCACCTCATTGACCCCACCAACCCCCACTGACCCCGGTCAACTCCATGACCCCTGTCAACCTCATTGACCCCACCAACCACGTTGACCTCATTGACCCCACCAGCCCCACCGACCCCATTGACCCCCATCAACTCCATGACCTTCACCATGCCTGTTGACTCCATCAACCCAACCAACCCCCATGACCTCATCAACCTCCTTGACCCCACCAACCCCCTTGACCCCCATCAACTCCATGACCTTCACCAACCCCGTTGACTCCATGACCCCCCGTTGACCCCGGCAGGGCCTGGTGGCGGCGGGGGCGGCAGACGGGGCAAAAAAAAACCCGCCCCCCCCGAGGGACCCCCGAGTGTGTCAAGTTCGGGCGACAGTTGGCCGGAGGTCTCCAGTGCCTGATGTGGGTGGCGGCGGCCATTTGCCTCATCGCCTACGGCGTCCAGGAGGGGGAAGGCGACCGCGGCAGCTCTGACAACGTACGGTGGACACCTGGAGTCATCTGTGGTGGGGGAGGACGTCTGGGTCCATCTCGGGGTGGGTGGGGGTAACTGGGTCCGTCTTAGGTGGGAACATCTGGGATGGAGAACATGTGGGGTGGAGAACATGTGGGGTGGAGAACATGTGGGGTGGAGAACATCTGGGTCTATCTTGGAGGGTTCACCTGGGTCCATCTGGGAGAACATCTGGGTCCATCTAGGGGAACATCTGGAGAGGGCACGTGGGTACTTGGGTTGGGGAACACCTGGGTTCATCTGGGGTGGAGACACTTAGGTCCACCGTCT